TTTGTTTTTACATCCTACTTGCCTGCCTTTTGTCCCAGCTTCCAACCTGCTGTCTTTAAATAAGGGTGGGTAGGCTATTTGAGATGAGGGAGCTTCTTATAAAAAGAAAATGAGGTTGTGCTTCCTGAAAGGGCTATATGTCTTGGCCTAAGATGGGATGTGCCTTTGAAAGGACTCAGAGTGTTTAGAAGGTGATGTTGCTTCTCCTCCTTGAAGTTTTGGCCATGGACTTAAACACACAGTAGAATGAGGAGAGGAGGAAGTGGCAGAATGGACAGTAGTATTTCAGAAAAATGGTAGAGGATACCATTTTTAAATGCTCTCTTGCATTAAAACAAGGAGAAAACTAGCACAAAGAGTGAACTTGGGTTTCAAAATGGCACCTCCCACCTGCAGCCTGGAGGCAGTGTCAGGACTGGACTCAACTATCCCATTCTCCGCGGAGCATGTGTAGATCAGGCCTTGGTATGTGTTTGACGCAAGAAGTTCTTTGAACTGAGATTGTGGGTCTTTTCCCTAACTCCTAGATCTTTACTTGATCAAGTCCACCCTTCATCCCTGAAAGTATTTTTGTGTGGTCCTTCCCAGTTTTGGTGAAGGTGTGTTACGGAGTTTTACTCCAAAGGAAAAGCAAAAGTTGCAAAAGGGAGAGAGAAAGAGACTCCCAACCTCAAATGCTGCCTGTCTCTTTAGACTTTTGTGTGCAATATCCTAGCATGTATATATTAAATCAATCCCAACAGTGACATATAAAATAGTATAATCAGTCCACATGTCCAAATAGGTATCTAAACAAGACTGATTACCGGTATGTCATGACAGAGAGAAGGCTTAAAAGGCTCTTTCCATGGCCGGTTTCCCCCCATTCTCCATTTAATTATTTATTTTCCTGCAGCCCACTTAAAGTTGAGATCGCATAGGTGAAATTATCGTATGCTGTGAGTTGCCTGTATTGCCTTACTAGCCTATCTTTCCTACTCAGGTGCTCAGGGCAGCATGTCCTCCAGGAAAATCTGTCCTCCAGAAACCAATTCATGCTTGCCAAGCTTCAACAATATGCTTGCAGCATCTGCCATCAAGACCTTAAAGATAGGTTCTCTTACCAGACCACCCCTTTGGGGTGTAAAGACTACCGCTGTGCACTGCCGCTGGACTGCGGTCACGTTCCCAAGCAAGGTGCCTTTAGGATTGCCTGTTATTGCCACCCCAAGATAGAAATAGCAGGGCTGGAAGCATAGTTTGCCACACAGCTAACTCTGCTGGAGACTAGCAAATGAGCAGAAAAGCAGAGCCCTTATAGTGGCAAGAAAGACTTGCCTTGTAAGGTTGGAAGAACAAACACTCAGCACCACTCAGTGACCTGAAGATCTTACTGCCCTTTCTGCTTACCAGGCCAGGGGAAGGTCTTGTGAGGGCCCTGGAACACCCCCAGTGCCCTCATGCATCCTTCCCAGAGTCCAGTAAGTGATGTGGAGGGCAAGGCCTGCCCGGACAGGTAGGGATGGTTGCGTGAGGGTGGGTGGCGGTCTCAGGGGTCCCTGGCTTTTTACAATTTTGCACGTATGCATGGATCCCCAGAGCTGAACCGTCTGTAAGCTGTGAGTTACCTGTACTGTCTTGCGTTAATAGAATGTGAGTCTAGAATCTGCCTCACAGCGGAAACTCCGTCTTACGTTCCAGCAGTCATGCGAATATGGAGGACGGGGCGAGGGGGGGCGGATGCTCTTATGCCACCCCAAAGGAAAAGGAGCCTGCCATCAACTCCGGAGATCAAGTAATCGATCCTGCTTGACCTGTTGGACATCCCTGGTCTATAACATCTAGGGCCACTGTATTGAGGAAAGCTGGTCCAATTCCAACTGGCAGTGGGTTTCTAAAATCTCAGACAGATATTTTCCCCCAAAGTGTAATTCAATAGTCTTTCAACCAGCATCTACTTTGTGGCACTCCCCTTCTTAGAGAGGTTCTACCTTTACTGTCGCCCCCCCCCCGCCCCCCATTTGGTGGACAGGTAAAGTTAGAAGGGTTTATTTCTTTCCATTTAGAAGGCATTCTCTGCTGGGCAAGTATTTTATTTTCAGCTACATTTTATATTTTATCTTGGGCTTCCTGTTCGACTTTTTATATACCAGTTTTTCTGCTTCTCTTGCTTGGTTAGTGTAAATGATTTTTATCACGCTGCATTTCTTTGTTGCAGACACGTTTTTAATTTTCAACATTTAATTTGCAATGTAAGTCACTTAGAACTGTGCTGGTGTTTTGTCCGCCGTCGTCTCCCTCCCCCAGCAGTATCTAATAAATCTCTGAGTGGGTTCTCCCTTCTTGGCAGCTTAAACATTACCTTTATATACAGAAAGAAGATTCTTCCTCAAATGCCAAGCCCTTGACTCGACTGTGTAGCTGATGAGTGTCGGCCAAAGTACCTTAGTGTTCCAGGGGCTTTTCACCAATCCGATTGGGGTTCCTCTGTGGAAGGATGTCCCATTGCATTTCCTGACAGTTGAGAGCTTGCTGGAAAGGATAACTCTGGTGTCTGCAAGGGTTTTATGGTCTCTTTGCAATTGTAAACTGCCCTGTGATCTTCGGAGGGAGAGGTTGGCACATAAATTTAATAAATAATAATATTGCTGGAAAAGGTCTCCAATATTGTTATTTTTTCCTGATATGGCCCCTGGGAGGGGCTGTGTTAGTTGTAAGTTACCTATATAACATGCTGGTTGTTGTTGCTATTGTTGCTGCTGCTGTTTTTCAGTAGAGCTTTGTGGTCAATATAACCTGTCATCTGTCAGCCATCGTGAATTTTTAGTTGTTTTATTGAATTTATTTCAGTGGCTGAGCACATGCCTTGCCTGCAGGAATTCCCAGGTTCATCTCCTGGCACCTCTGTCTAAACTGCCTCCATCTTATCTGGATTGAGGTTCAGTTTATTGGCTCTTATCTGGTCCATTACTGAGGCAAGTCCAGCACTTCCACTGCCCCACCTGCAGATGTAAAGGAGAAGTAGAGCTCTGTGTCATCAGCATATTGCTGGCAACATGCTCCAAAACACTGGATAACCTGACTCAGCGGTTTCATATTAGCATGTTTTGGAACTGGTTGACTTGTTTTCCATCTTTTGTGTTGTTCTTTTTATCACTCTCTCCTAAGGTGAGCCATCCAGGGGGGAAAGGGTAATGTGAGTCTTGAAGGGACATTGAAATACACAAACCAATAAAGGGCTAACAAAATTTGGGAACCTTTGGTTTCGGAGCATTTGTTTTAATGCAGGATTTTCAGCAAGCTGGCAATTTTAAAATAGTGTTTTCTCTTGGGTTGCATTTTCATGTGGAGTGTGTAAAGCATGTGTGGACCCGTTCCTTCCCATAACCACCTCCTCATGCAGCTCCTGTGACTCTGGCCCCTCGGGGATGAAGGAGGCGAGGTTCACAGGCTCTGTGTCTTCTCAGCCAACCCAAAACTTCTTCTCAGACCTGAACGGTGAGGAAACCAGGAGCCTCAGGAAAGGGTGGGCTACACCTGGGAATGACTGGGCATGTCATACTGTCCCATTAGTCCCAGCTATTTAGCCAAGGGTTGAGGATGGTAGGAGTTGGAGTTCAAAGAATCTGGAGGGCAGCAGGCTGGGAAAAAGCTGCATTACAATGTAATATATGGAAATAATTTTGAGGCGAAGTTCCTGTAATTGTATTTATTAATTATACAAATTTTATTTATAAAAAATAAAATACAAATTTATTAACAACGTCTGTATAAAGGTAAATAAAACCTCTATGGGAGGGAATATAGTGTTCCCCAAAGATTGGCCCTGTCTGCGGTTCATGGCAGTTGGGTCTGACTTGCTCTCTTGCCTTCCTTGAACAGTTTTTTGTGCCTTGAGGTTTGAGTGCAAGGTCTTCTGGAGTGTTTGAGCTCCTCTCCTCCCTGATCGCTGACACCCAAGCAACACATCACTCACCTGGGTGTGGAGCTGGATTCAAAGCATGAGATACTCTTCTTCAAGCACTTTTTTGCTGTAGGTATTGCCCACATGTTTTGAAACCTATCTTTGCAGCCATGAGTGCTAGAAACATGCCTATTGGCGCTTCTTCTTTTTAAATGAATACTGAGATTCAAAGTAGACATGTTGTGATGGAAGAGCGGTGTACAGAGAGCACTGACTCAAAATATCTCTTTTGATGGTCTTCTTTCCCATGCTATTGCAAGGGGCAGTAGAGACAATAGCAAGTTTTGCTGGGAGCTGGAGGCACTGCTAGACAGTGGTTCCGATCCTCCTGGATGGTGTTGGGGGATGAGTGTTCAGACCCCTGGGCTCTCACTTGTGGGGTGCCTCAGGGCTCCATCCTCTCCCCCATGCTTTTTATCATCTGTATGAAGCCACTGAGAGAGATCATCAGGGGGTTTGAGCTGGGTGTTCATCAGTATGTGGATGATAACCAGCTTTACCTCTATTTTAAATCAGAACCAGTGAAGGCGGTGAAGGTTCTGTTTGAGTGACTGGAGGCAATTGGAGGATGGATGGTGGCTAACAGATTGAGGTTGAATCCTGACAAGACAGAAGTACTGTTTTGGGGGAACAGGGGGGCGGTCAGGTGCGGAGGGCTCCTTGGTCCTGAATGGCATATCTGTGCCCCTGAAGTACCAGGAGCGCAGCCTGGGAGTCATTTTGGACACACAGCTGTCCATGGAGGCACAGGTGAATTCTGTGTCCAGGGCAGATGTGTTTTTAATATTCTTTTGGGAGCTGCCCAGAATGGCTGAGAAAACCCAGCCTGATGGGTGGGGTATAAATAATTACTACTACTATTATTATTATTATTATTATTATTATCCACTGTGACTTGCTGATCAAAGGAGATTATCTCCTCTTCCTTCAACAACGATCCCGCACAGGAACATAGGAAGCTGTCTTATACTAAGTCAGATTAAGGGTCCACCTTGATCTCCACTGACTGGTAGTGGCTTTCCAATGTTTCATACAGGGGTTTCATCCCAGACCTACTTGAAGATGCCAGGGATTGAACCTGGGGACTTCCACATGCAAACCAGATGCTCTACCACTAAACAGCAGCCCTTGTTCTAAATGCTCCCCTTCCTTCCTTCCTTCCTTCCTTCCTTCCTTCCTTCCTTTTGGCTTTAATTCTAGTTTCAACCCTTCTGACCGTATGTATGTCTCACCGATCTGCAGGTCTCCTTGAACATGGACGTAACTGGTCAGCCATTTCCAGGATGGTGGGATCCAAGAGTGTCTCCCAGTGTAAAAATTTCTACTTCAACTACAAGAAGAGACAGAACCTGGATGAGATCCTGCAGCAGCACAAACTGAAAATGGTAAATGCAGTGACCTCTCAGATAACATTTTGGTGAACTTTTGCACATCTTCCAAGATGAGTCTGCAGTGTCTGGTTTGGATTTATTTACCTCCTACAGAATTTACCTGGATATAGAGCCGTTTCACACTGTCCATAGTAACAAAACCCAGGTTTGCCACTGAGAGTGCAGTCAACAGCATATCTGTTCACAATCCTGGTTCTCTGTTGAGTCTGCCTGCACAACAGTTTCCTTTTCTTTTCTTTGTCATATTAACCCTTTTACATGTTTAGGTGTATTCTCAAAAAATCTTAAGCTCACATCTTTTAGAATACATAAATATATATACCATGTGTGGAGCAGCCACTGTAAGGATGTTTCTAGGCTATAACGGAGGAATACATATTTAGCACTTAGCGATGAGTTATTGTCGAAGTTCATATCCACACCATACATTTAGAGTTTGTGGTTTCCCCCAAAAGAATTCTGGGAACTGTAGTTTGTTAAGGGTATTGCAAATTGTAGCTCTGTGTAGGGTAAATTGCACTTCCAGGATTCTTTGGGGGATGCCGTGACTTATAAAGTGTCATAAATGTGCTTTAAATGTGGGTGTGGACACACAAAGGTAGTTGAGTTGATGTTCTTGAACTGAGTGAAAATACTTCCAGAAACAAGGGTTCACATGTGTGTGCAGTGAAATGTGGTGGAATTTTTCACAGGGCTTCATTTTTCTATGGAAAATTTATCGTCTCATAAGTAAACGTGAGAATGGGTGCCAACTGCAAATACAATATTTAGGCAAGCTTGGCAGCTTTAAAGTTTTTAGTTCTGTTTACTAAATAGAAGTAAATTAAGCATGTTAAACACTCCCTAGGGCAGGGATAACCAATATGGTGCTCTCTGGTTGATCCTGGACCACAGTTTCCCCCATCCTTGACCACTTCCCATGTTGGCTTGGGATGATGGGAGTTGTTGTCCAAAGCATCTGGAAGACACCCCATTGGCTACCTCAGCTCTAGGGCATCAGGGGGAATTATGATGCAAACTGAAAAATTCCCAGCTCAAATTATCCCAATTTGCTTATGAAGAAAGTTTGCTTATGAACTTTTTTTAAAAAAAATAATTATCGAACGTTCACTTTACTCTTTGTGGTGTATGAGAGAAGGAAAGAGAAATGTGCTTTTTTGCTGTTCAGAGCACTTTAATTTGACCCTTCCATTAAGTGAAGGGCCAGTGATTCCTGGTGAAGGGCCAGTGAGGTGGTGATGACTCCGTTATTTTTATCTGCCTTGGGCCATGTTGACATGTATGTCTTGGGACAAGTTGCTTTTCAGATGGTGCTGGTTTGAATTATGATGTTGTTGTTGTTGTTGAATTACATTGTTGTTGCTGCTGCTGCCCCCTGCCCCCCCTTTTTTAGAAATCCCACGAACTTCTCCATCTTTTCTTGCTGGCATTGCTACGTGATAGACAGAAAGTAAGCAGGTGAAGCTTTTAATGGCATGGAGATAATTGGAAAGGAAAAGAGCATCCTGTTTACTTGCTATGTCGGGAGCTGCTATTAAAGGCACCAGAGGAGAAAGCAAAGGCAGAAGCTTTCCTGCCTCCCCTGGACCTATTTGTTTATTTTACTAGATTCAGATGCTGCTTAATTGAAGAAAAAAAATCTACACACCTCTGAGTGTTTCACACAGAATTATATAAAATATTTATCAGAAAATACTGATAAAATCAACAGACTTAAGAAACAAGTAGATGGAATAGAATTACCAAAATACTGATAAAATCAAGTTTTTAAAAGTTTAAAAATAGGCATGCTGAAATTGCATGTCTGGGTAAGCTTGCCTAAAGAAAATTTTTAGCAGGTATCAAAACGCAATATAACAAAGGTGCCTGCCTAATATTGACAATTGCCAAGGGGATCAAAGAAGAATTGAAGGTAGCAAGACAGTTGAGAAACAAGTTGGAGGGAGAGAAAAGGCAGTTATAATTGCCATCGTTTGCTCCTTGATTGCCTTGCCCTCTTCAATCCTCCTTTGATCCCCTTGGCAATTGTCAATATTAGGCAGGTGCCTTCTTCTCTGTGCTGGTGCCGTCCCTTAGTGCTCCTTCTGTTTTCTCTGCTCCTTCATGGGATGCTTCCCAGATTGTGATCCGCCTTTCCTATGAAGCCTTGCCTAACTTTCTCACTAATAGCCTTCAGTTGACAGGTTAAAACACAGCTGCTTCAGAGGGCATTTGTGACAAATTCATGTATCTATCCCTTTATGGCCTGTCTGGTGATTTCTGCCGGGGTTTTTGCAGCAACTGTTTTCTTATTATGTTGTTAAACAAACTTTTGGATCCTGAAAGATGGACTGGTTGCTCATTTTATAATAGCAGCCCCCTCAGCAAGACTAGAACAAGACAAACTGTGGGAACATGGCAAAGGGACTGTTTTATAGTAGGACTCTGATGGTGAAACTCCCTCCCCAGGTGTGCTAAGTGAGCCCCTTCATTGCCCAGCATCCAGCAAGGCATTTCTGTGCCTCTCAGCATTTGATGGTTTTTATTGTTTAGACAACTTTTTTAAAAAGTGGGGAACTCTTTTTTGAGGTTTTATTCCTCCATTCTTAATTTTATCTTGTTGGAAATTATTTTTATGTTTGTTTTGTCCACTGCCTTGAAGGCGTTATGACCAAAGTCATATTTTTTAAATCATAGAGAGAAAGAGAGAGAGAATGGTATAAGTAAATGACTTTTAAAGCAAATACCACACTGCAGGTTTTTGCATCCCCTGCAAAGCAGCAGGAAGGTGAGGAAGTTTTCTACATGGCAATGTCACCTCGCAGAGGAGGTGTGTTCTTCCTGCTTGAGATAAAGTACCAGGAGTATCGTAGCTGTCCCGAGATGGGAGAATTATTAAGTTTTCCCCCACCTGCTTAAAAGTATTGTGTTTGAGGCTGTAGATGCTGTGGCGGAGGGCGTACATTTAAGCCCAGTGTGGCTAGAACCTGCTAATGCTCTGCAAGCACTTTGGAGACACGGCAGGCTGCCTGGAACTGCCGAGTGCTGCAATTATTGTTATTTCATTTTAAAAGCACTGTGGGGGTTCCTGGCCTCAGTGCTAATAGAGCTCTCCGCCTGGCCCAAGGGGCGCTTCGGAAATGCCACTGAGCATGCTTACTAGCTTGGGAGCGTAAAAGCCTTTTAGTCCCGCCAGGATCTTTAGGGCAGCTCAGGAGGAGTCGGGACAGGAGGGGATTTTGGATGTAAGTTAGCAAAGCTGCCTTCCAGCATTTCACTAGGGCCAGTTTTAAAGAAGTGGGGCGGGAAGCCATCTGTAGAGAGAACAACAGCAACAAAAATGAAATGCAAAGGTTACCTTCTGCTCCTGTTCGCACTAGAGGAACATTTTTAGAGGCCTGAAGCCAAAGCATTGGCTAGTAGTTGTTTCAAATCAGTCTGAGAGATGTTGCCTAGCCTGTGCTCCCTAGCCAAGCACATCTCTTTATCCATTTTCTTTCTGTGTTCTCTTATTTTGAAGTCTTCCTATGGCCTCCCTTTCGATATGAAAATCCCTGCAAGATCAGACCAAGTGCATCAAAGTCCAGCATCCTGTTTCCTGCAGTGGCTGACCAGATGCCTCTGGGAATCCCACGAGCCAGTGCATGAGTGCATTTGTTGTTCCCTAGCAACGCGGGGACTTGCCGATCAGAAGGTCGGCAGTTCGAATCCCCGCAATGGGCTAAGCGCCCGTTGCTCGGTTCCTGCTCCTGCCAACCTAGCAGTTCGAAAGCACGTCAAAGTGCAAGTAGATAAATAGGTACCGCTCCGGCGGGAAGGTAAAAGGCATTTCCGTGCACTGCTCTGGTTCGCCAGAAGCGGCTTAGTCATGCTGGCCACATGACCACATGTACGCCAGCTCCCTCGGCCAATAAAGCAAAGTGAGCGCCGCAACCCCAGAGTCGGCCACGACTGGACCTAATGGTCAGGGGTCCCTGCAAGATCAGACTGTTCTTCACAGGACCCTGGATGATTACAGTCATTCTGACTAGGAACCAATGATAGTCTTGTTCTTTCTCCCCTCCTTTTCCATGAATGGGTCTAATCCTGCTTTTGAAGCTACCTAAGCTTTTAGCCATCACCACTACTTACACCTGCAAATTCCTTAAGTTGACAGTGCACTGGGTGAGGTGGTACCCTGACTCTTTCGCCAGTCAGCTTCTAATCTTATGCGACAGGGATAAATGTTTGCCAGAGTTTCTCTGGACAGTTCACTCACGCTCCTTTCCCAGGACCAGCCTCCTTTTCTCCTAGGTTTCTATTGCTTCTACTCTTTCCGAAGCCCTTGCACCTTCTCCCCCCCCCCCACCTTAGTGGTTCAGCCAGTGTAGGGATGTCTAGGGGCTTACCTAGCAGTTGGCCAGCTTGCACCCCACCAAAGGCTCAGGCCTGGGGAATTGCACAGAAATTGTGCCTTTCTTGTCACCTTGGTGGGGTAATCCTGACACTGGCGTGGGCCATTGCACCAAACTGCAGAGCCCCCTCCTCAGTCAGCTGGCAGTGCTGCATGTTAGTTTGCGCAGTGGGGCTCTCTACGAGGACACCACTGCTTGGCTCTCTGTCCTAGCGCAACCACTACTCCCCACCCTCCACTCCCTCTGCTTGCCCCCAAAATGGCTGATGTGCTGACTGAGAAACGTCAGGCGAGGCTCTTTGTGGTCACTTTCCCCTGGTTTCCCCCCCAACCTTGACCAATTTCCAGTGCATGTGCCGCTGCATATTTACCCCAGAGAGAGCAAGGGCCATTAAGTTAAGGGGGCTTACTTCTGAGTAAAGTGTGCACTGAGGCGCAACCTCCGAGGTAGTGCCTTTCTGCTGGCACCTTGTTGGAAATAACGAAAAGGCAAGTGAGGTATTGTCAGATGCTCCTGTCGTTGTCTTGCCAGATTGAGTCTTGTGCACCCAGTAAGCCCTATTGAACGTGGTGGGATTTACTTTGGAGTAGATATCTATAGGCTTGTGCTGTTAAACAGCCAGTTTGAATCATTTGTGATTATTCAATTACGTTATTTTTCGCCTGGAGATTGGGGGGGGGGGGTGCAAGGGAGCCTAGCTACACCTCTGGGGATGTTGGAGTATTCCAGTGGAAATGGAAACAATTGCTAGTGTTCAGACTATGTGCAGAACAGAAATCAACCCAGCAAATGTGATAGATATTTCAGTCGGCAAATGACATGTAATCTTTGCTGTCTCCCCCCCCCCTCAATCTGACCAATGTGGGGCTTGAACCCACGCCCCCAAGTCTAATGCTCTACCTGCTGAACTATGTAAGCTATGTGAGTTTGCCACAGCGGACAGCAAGACAAATAACATAGGTCTTAGCAGAAGGTAAACTGCAGCATAACAGAAACAGCACTGCATAAGATGGGGGGGGTGATGCCTTCTCGCATTGCTAGATCAGTGGAATCCTTGCCTTTCTGTGACATTATGAGTAGCTCAGCCAGTCACTACCAAAGGTTTCATTTATGCTGTGAACTGCCCTGAGATCTATAGAGAAAGGGCAGTATACAGATTTAATAAATATAAATAAATAAAATTCACCACACCCACAAAATCCTCAAGTATGTTACAATATCAATAGTGCTCTTCTGTCATTTTTTTTAATACGTCACTTGAGAAAACCTCTCCGACTGCTGTTTTGTGACAGACTTAGTTTGGGACATGTCAGCATACTTTTCTCTCCTGTTTGCGTTTCAGAAATCTTACATGCACAATTCTTCTTCTTCTAGCTCCAATTATTTCCCCCAGCTTCCGTTCCTCGGATGTAGCATCTCAACTCCTTCATCCTAATTGTTAGGCATCTCCATCTCTCTCTAGTTTATGTCATTAGCCTGGATTGATAATCTTCTTTGGGTGAACAATTTGAAGCAGTGGCAGTCTTGGGTGTTGTTGTTTTTTTTGCATAAGGACAATGAGCACTCAGCTGTTCCTGGTTGCTGCTCTTTTTTCGTTGTTTTTTTAAAAATGCTGTTGTTTGTTGGCAGCAACAGATGTTATACGGCTGAATACAAAGCAGAGAGACAAAATCTGCAGTTAATCTAGCAAACTGTTTTCCTAAACATATTTGCTGCTTTGCGTGCGTGAGCGTGCACACTCAGATGGAGGGGCCACATTCTGGGCAGGAGGAGGAGCCCAACAGCAGAATTAAGGCTAATTTCTTGCTGCTTGTCGTCTGATCAGCTCCAGTGAAGCTGCCCAATGAAGCAATGAAGGAAATGGAAGAAGGCTATAAGGGCTTGCATTGTTCTAAGTCACCCCTTTGGTTCGCCTGGCTCAGTGCATCACTATCTCAGATACAGCGGTCAGGGCCAAACCTACCATTAGGCAGAGTGAGGCAACCTCCTTAGGCGGCAAATCTTGGCAGGCACCTATCCCCTAGCTCAGTGGTTCCCAACTGGTGGTCGCACCATTCATATAACAAAAACTACCATAGAGATATCAACATTTTCAAAAGCAGGGGTCCGCCATACTTAGCTAATTGGGAACCACTGCCCTAGCTGTTTCCCCTGGCTATTCACTCCGTTGGAAGATGGAGTTGTGTGTGCCATGGGGCCTGCCTGTGCCCCCTCAGTGAGCCTCCTGCTGGCATGTTGAGCTAGGATTCAGCTGCCAGTCCAGTCGGCTTCTCTGTACATGCAGTTGTGTCCTTCACCTCCGGCAGAGAAATGTCTTGAGCCAACCCCAAGAAGGGTTCCTTATACTGATTTATGCTTCTAGTCTTTGGTGATCCACCGCTTGTTGCTGACAGGCCCTGTTCTTCCCTCCTGTATCCAGTGACTTCGTAGGAACACCGAAACATAGGAAGCTGCCTTGCAGAGTCAGGCCATTGGTCCATCCAGCTCAGTGCTGTGTACACTGACTGGTAGCAGCTCTCCAGGATTTCCCAGGCCTGCCCAGAGATGCAGGAGACTGAACTGGGGACCTTCTGCATGCCGAGCAGATGCTCTACCACTGAGCCACAACTCTCCTTCTGGTTTAAAACCACGGCAGCCTAGAGTTGACCAAAAAGCCCCCGCAAGTGTGGGCCCTGATGAACCCACCTTTACAAATGCCTATTTTTTCTTTATGTGGTTTATTTTGTCAGAATACAAATAAGTAATAGCATATTTTAATAGCATATTTTAAACAACGCCATGAAGCTAGTCTACAAGCCAAAAGCTGGCAGATGTTGACCAAGTTCAGGTCCTTTGGTTTTGTGAGAGGCTCCTTTTCGGAATTTGCCAGTGGAAGCTAAGCAGCGTTGCAGCCAAGAGGGTGTCCTTAGGCAAGGAATCCTGCAGTTAGGCTTACTTCCAACTGAGGCAGTAAACTTGCATCTCAGCCTAAGTCAGGACTGCTTGTGGAAAGTCACAGATGGGGAAGAAGGATGCTATCCAGATGTTGTTGGACTACAACTCGCATCATGCTGGCTGGGACTGATGGAAGTTGGAGTCCAGCAACATCTGGAGGGCACTAAGTTTCCCACTCCTGGAATAAACTCGCCATACAAAAATTATGTCCCACATAGAAAGCTCGCATGTCAGGAAGAAGGCTTGCCTGGAATCCATCTCTCTGAGGTGCTAGTTTTCTAGGCTCACCTTAATTAATTAGGAGGTGTTTTTATTTCTTCAGTGGTTCTCATGCTTTGCCCTCCCCAATGATCTCAGGGCAGCTTTTGTGGTTTTCTCCCCCCCCCCCCCGGTGGTGGGCAGAGCTAGGGGCAAAAAGTGGACAAAATAAACGTGTATGTTACCTTTGTTTTAATGGGCTGGTTTGTCCACAACCTCTCACACTGCACTCTGCCCAGGCAAGCAAGAAGCATTATAATAGTTCAAGAACATATTCCAGCCAGGCAAAAACATTCAAGGAGGGCAAAGTGCATGGCCTGGGGAAAGGGGTGTGACTGAAAAGAGTCCCGACGGCCAGGGTGTCAAGAGTAGAAATACCAGGTTCAAATCTATCTAATACTGCTCTATGTAAATTTGGGTGTATCCTCCCCTTTTATTTTTAACTTGTATCTAAATCCACACCTGTCCACAGAGTTCACTGGGTGACCTTTAGACTGAAAGATAGAGACCCGGCCAAAACACCTTAATGGTTAATCTGTTATTTATTTGTTTGCTTAAAATACTTGCTGTACCCTAGTCTCCAGCTGGATAAGCTCCCAGAGCAATTCACAAACCCGTAAAAAAAGAAAAGAAAAAGCAAGCCTGATTGCTGGGTCCCTGTTATCTGAAATGACACTAGACAAAACAAAAACGGGATGAGATGGTTGCTGAAGGATTCTGAGTGAGAGGCAGGGAAGGGAAGATCTCCCAGGATGGGAGACTGGAAGAAGAAACAGAAGCTCCCAGGTGAGACCTGAGAGGGCCCCCCCCCTTTCTGTTTGAGACAGGGGTTAAGATCTTCCTTGGAAAGAGGACTCTGCTTTTTCTTTTCTATGTTTTTTATTTTATTTAGGTTAGTTTCTTTTATTGTACTATGAAAAAGCCTTAGTAAAATATTACAGAAAAAGAAAACAAGCAAACCTAGGCCCCCAACTCTTCATGTTATGAAGGTTCTTGCAAGGAGCAACTGGCCTCTCACAGTTTTTAGGGGAGGACTAGGCCTTGGTGGCATCTCAGAAACAGTGGCGACCCAACTCTTTCTGGAATGGATGGCTTTGCCATCTGTGGCATCTTTCTTGACTTTGGCAGCCTTGGCCTTGAGGGGCCTTCCTGGAATCCCCCGGCTTGTGGTCACAGGTTGTCTCACGGGGCTCAGCTGGTACCTTCCCCTCCAGTGCAGATTTTACTGCTGCTTTTCGCAGCAGGGCGGGTGGAATTGGTGACTTCTGGGCCCAGCCAGCTAGTGAGAGCAGCAGGGAGTAGAGAGGGCAGTTCTTCGCCATGACTCCTGTTCTCTATTTAAACTATCCCATTTTACTTTATTTCTGTTTGTTTGTGTGAATGATGTTTTAATTGTTATAGCCTTCCATTAAAAACTGAAAATAAAATAAATGAACCATAGTTGCTAGCTCAGTCTACTTCACATGGATATTGTGAGAATAAAATGGGGGGGGGGGTTGAGTTATGCTGTCTTGAGCTCCTTGGAGCAAAGGTGGGATATAAATGCAGCCAGGGGTCGCCACTGTGGTGCCCATGGACACAGTGGTGCCCTTGAGGTCGTTCCCCAGTCTGCGCAAAGCCTCTGAGGCCCCTTCGCGCGCCTCCCACTCACTCACTGCCCCTTTAATCCTGAGAGGGGTGACCTTTTCCTCCCTTGAAAAGTACATAGAAAGAGGAAGCAGGAGGAGTGGGGGTCTTCCCCACTTCCTCTTTCAGCTGCAGGTGCTTTTGAAGGCTCAGATTAATTCTACTGCATCCTGTTTTTGTCCAGATTCCTTGGAAAAGCGAAGCCTGTGTGTGCACACTTTCTCTTTCTGTGTATCTGAGGAGACGGGGGTGCTGATCCCAATGAGAGGAGCATAGAGAAAATGTTTCCAGAGGCCCAGATAATAATGGTGGTTAAAAACAACAGCAGCAACTGTTAGATTTCTTGCCTTCTGTCCACTTCACCACATTGGGAAGCAGGTGCTCCTTTAGGTGTGCTGGGCCAGCCCTCTTGGTGTTTGGGGACATTGCTTTTTCCGCCACGAAAAGCAAAAGACACCTACTGCAGAAAAATAAAGAGCTGGAGGAGGCTTCTTTTCCAGGTGGGAGGGAGGGAGAGGCGGCCTGCCTTGTGACAAAGGGACTGTGTCTCCTGTTCCCGACAAACGCCTTTGATCAGGAGCCAGGAGGAGCATGTGGCTCCCCAGCCCCACCTCGCAGAGCTTCCTGTTTCTCTCTCCCCACATGGGCAGCTTGTATGTTTCCACAGCTTCCCCCCACATGCTCGGAACGAAGTTTAGTTCAGAGCTTTTGAGGGCCTGTCCTTTGGTTAAAGAAAATAAACCTGCCTGGAGAGTGAGGGCTGACTCTCCCTGTTAAAATGGAGCGCAGGACGGCTTCACAGTCCCCCACACAGAGAAAGGTTTGTCTCCCTCCAGCTGGGGTGTTCCGGGCGGTGCATGGAGTGCTCACTCCAGCCAGTTGCTTTTGCGAAACAAGTGGAGCATGCGCTGTTGTGCTCAGGTTCTGCTTGCGAGCTTCCCATGGGCCCCTGGCTGGCTACTGTGAGTGCTGGGCTACAGGAGCCCTTGGCCTGATCCAGCACAGCAGTTCTTGTGTTCTTATCTTAACCTTGCTGTACAATATGCATTGGGATTTATCGCCCATGTTGTTTCTGTCTGGTGGTGGATTTTGGACATCCTAGCTTCAGTGAACCTTTCAGCTGAGGAACAACTCTGCATTGCAGACAATCCTGATTTTTTTGGGGGGGTGAGGGGTGGCTGTTCAAGGGGTGGGCAGAATTTAGACTGGGTTGCAGTGGCAGACCTCTGAAGGATTTCCAGTAGACCCTCCAGAGCTTGTAACCAGCACTGGATGTAACTACCCACAGAATCTGTTTTATTTGGGGTTTTAAAATGTGCTTTTACATTGCTGCTTTATTGGTTTTAATGTTGTATTTTTGTATTAATACTGATTACTTGTTTTCATATTGTGCATTGCTTAAGGCAGTGTTTCTCAACCCTGGGTGTCCAGCTGTTGTTAGACTACAACTCCCATCATCCCTGACCACTGGTCCTGCTAGCTAGGGATGATGGGAGTTGCAGTCCAACAACAGCTGAGGACCCAAAGTTGGAGAAAGGCTGTCTTAAGGAATAAAAAGTGGTTTATAAAGGCTTTTAAATAAATATCTGCACATGCAGATATTATGGGGAGGAGGTTTCACTCTCCCCTGCTCAGTGTCCTGCATGGACAAGCGTTCCGTCATGTGAGTCCCTGGCCTGCAATCTGAAGTGATGCTTTCCAGATAACAAGGTTTCCACTTCAGTAAGAACTAGGTCTGGGCAGTGGAACTGCTCCATTAAGGTCCCACCTGTGTGCCTTAGTTGCTGAGGCTGCGTGCACACTCACGTTTACTCTGCATCTCAAGTGCTCCCACCATTGGTTTGGGAAGTGGTGTACACACAACGTTGGCCACAATCTTTATTGATCCTGTGTTTTGATGCATTTTCAAAATCTGAATTGAGAAAAAGATTGACCTAGCTGTATGTAAAGTCAACAATGTGCGCACAGCCCAGGGCTGCTCACTCTCTTTCTGCCCTGGAAGCTGGAACTTGGTGTGCAGAAGGTAATGTTAACATAGTTGTTCTAAGTATTTTAAATGAGGAGGAGGAGCACTGAGGGCAGTTCAGACACCCTGCTTAACTGTGTAGCCCCCCTGGTTGGACCTTAGCCAAGCCCTTCTCTCTGATTTCACCCTTCCTGCCTGTAATTTGACAATATTACTAATGCTAACCTATCCTGCAGGACTGTTGTAAAGTTTCCTAAGTCAATAGAGGCAAAGTGCTTTGAGCACCAGCATAACAATGTGTTCTGTAACTTCCAAGAAAGGAAACAAGGCAAAGACAAACCAGATTATCATTAAAGCACTGAAATGAAGGCCTCTTTGTTTTCTGTTTTGACATTTCAAGTCCACTTGCATTGGCTGTGGGTTCCTTCTCCGGATCTCATGATTAAATTCTTATCACAGTGGCCACCTCAGTGCTCTCCAGCAAGTTGAGGGCAGGAAAAGCCCTCTTTTGTCAGTGGGGAAGCATCTGCTTTGCATGCAGGAGTTTCCAAGTTCAATTCCCTCAGGACTGAGAGAAAATCCTGCCTAAAGTGCTAGAGGGCTGCTGCCAGCCAGTGCAGGCAATGCAGTGCTAAATGGATGATTGGTCTGACTTGGTACAATGCAGGTTCCTGTGTCCCTAGGTTCCCCCACAGTTTTGAGCCTAGAATTCTGCCTGTGCCACATTGATGCTCCTGCACTTGATGCTTGGATTACGCGGTGATCAGGCGATGGGTTTCTTTTTCTTCCAGCCCCTTCTCCAAACTGCGCCACGGCAAAAGCCATTCAGGGAGAACATCTGTCAGTGGAGAGCAGTGCGTATTCAAAGACTGGTTTTGAAGCAGCCTCCCCCGGCCTAATCTCTTGCTCCGTCAGTTCGCATGAGTCACACACAACAGAGTAAGAGGCAGCAAGGCCAAGACCACTTTGCCATAGTAACGAGATCGTAGCTGTGCTCGCATTAGCATCATCCAGTGCCCCAGCGACAGGCTGCTTCAACAGCTGATAATGAGTACTTATGGAAATTGTGTCTGGCAGCAGTTCAAGCCCAGGCGAGGCTTTCCTTGGAAAAGGAAGCGGCACTTTTTGACTTGCCAAGGGCTTCGCTGTTTGTTTTGTTTTTGTTTCTCTGCGCATCGGGCCTGTGAGATGCAAGTGCTGTTATGCCCATCTCACAGGTGGTGAATTGAGGCAGAATGAACTAGACAAAATAAAATAAATCAGAGAAGGAACTCAAAAACTGACATGGGGTGGGGAGGCGGTTTTCTTTTTTGTTTTCTTTTTTGTCTCCCCCCAAAAACTCTGGATTCTATCCAGCTAAGTTTTACTCAGAACAGACCCACTGATGTTAATGGACCTAAATTAGTCGTATTCATTAATTCTAGTGATTCTGAGTAGGGCTAACACTGGATATATGCAATTCTCTGCAGTTTCTCATAACGCTTACCATTTGCATGCCACATATTCTTCCATCAAAGGCAGGTGGAAAACAATTGAAGAAGTATGATTCAGACAGTGGTTGCAATCACATGTAACTGCAGCTTAGTGTAGCTTTGCCCAACCTAGTGCTCTCGAAATGTTTTGTACTACAACTCACAGCATCCCTAACCATTGGCCATGCTGGCTGGGGCTGATGGGAGTGTAAAACGTTCAGAGGGCACCCGTCTGAGGGAGACTGATTTAGTGCTGTGTGGACAAGCCTCCACAACTCGGAGCAAATCATCCGGGTTGTGTCCTCCCTGTTCTTCCTCCTATATAGCCAAGTGAAGGAATTCTGACACATTCACTTTCACTTCCAAATAATTTCGGCTTCGTGTTACGTGTGAACAGAGGGCTGTGGTTTACAACAAACAATGGTTAAGTTGCTAAACAAGTTAACTCCAAACCGTGGGCTATTAAGTTGAGCTGGTATCCCTGCTCACCCTTCCGAAGCAACTGAAGTTGGGGTGAAAAAGCAAGACCCCCCCCCATCCTCCAATCCAAGTTCCCACAAATCATCCCCTCCTCTGTTTCTTCCTCCTACGGCAGAGCTTGCCAACTCAACCCCAATCCCTACAGCACTGTGGGGCTTATGGCAGTTTAGCCCCATAGCATTCATATGTATTTATATTAGCTCTACATCCTTCATCGAGGAAGTTTGAGGCGATATACATGGTTTTCACACACACACACACACACACACACACACACTTTAGCCTCACAACAACCCTGTGAGTTCCATTAGTCTGAGATACACGAAGCAGCCATGTGCGGCACTGGGACCCATGTGCTGTGCACCTTGCCACCCTCAAAAATCTGCCTCTTTTGTAGCTGGGATCATTTTAATTTAGGGAATTGTTTCTGCCTATCAGTACGTGAACACAGAGCTAAGAAGGGAAATAGTTTATTTTGGCCAGCAACAACTTGCTTCTAAGAAGACTTCCCAGGTGACTGGCAAGTTTTTGTAAAGTGGATCTGTGACTTCACACACAAACACACACCATTCCCCTGTGCACTTGCATTGTAGTGACAGGAGCTAGTAGCTTTTTGGAACATTTGTGGGCTGGTAGCTTTTCATGGGCTTTTGCAAGAATGGATGCATGAATTCAGAAGAAAATTGTGTGTTCTTTATATTGCTGCTGGTTAGCAATTGCGCACAACCCAGACACTGTTTAGTCTACACTGTCTCTGGTGTGGAAGGTCTTCCTATCTCTTTTCTTGGAAAACTTGGATTTCACTAACGTATTTGATAAGGGCTAGGCCAGAAAGAAGTGGGTGTTTATTGTTGTGCCTGCAGGGTGGGAAGTGAGGAACTGTTTGTTCTACCTGAAAGTGGGGGGGGGGGGGAGGCAAAGGAGAACTCAACAGCTCTCTGAGCTCAGGTGGCCAAGTCAGTGTTTCCATCGGAACCGTTACATGACGTCATTCATTGTATGCACGCACAAGGATAGCATTCATTATTGTGTGCCTGGCGACTGTGGGAGGAGGCAGCGGGCAGGTCCCTGCTAGTTTTAGTTATTCAGGTGTTAATGATGGGAAACAGCATCAGATATGAAACACCATTCCTACAGCCCAGGTGAAGCTGTCTTTTGAAAGGCGTCACCCTTGCTGATCTTTCTCACCAGGTGTTTCATAAAGACCTGAAAATGGTGACTATGAGTATTCATCATTCATCCAGCACTTTTACTGTACAGAGTGCTTTGTTTGATGCTTTTGCCTCATTCACCCTTGCAATAGGACTCCTTTGATGGGTCATTCTTATACCCATTTTACAGATGAGTGGGGCAGCTGAAATATAGCAACTTTCCCAATGCTGAGCTAGTTTTAACCTTTTTAACAACAACAAGAAGAAGAAGAAGAACATTATTTTGTTTATTTAAAAAGTAAACAAAAAGAACCAAAGCCCTCAAACCTAACTAAAGGACATAAGAATCATGCCAAGATAGACAAGAAGTCAATCTAGTCCATCATCTTTGTTTATCATAGCTGGTCAGTAAGATGTCTCCAGGAAGCCCATAAGTGCAAGTATCTAAGCACAGCTCAGATGGGGCATTACTGAGAGAACCCTTTGCCCCAGAGTTGTGCTTAGCCTGTACTTAGCTCCCCAATTGTGGAGAGAGGCTCGCCTGCTGCCATCATTACATGTCTTTAGATGCCAGGCAAAAATTCCTCTTTACCCAGGACTCTTGTTAGTATTACAATTAGACTGTCTGTCTGTCAGTATGCCTTTTACTGTCTTTTTATTATGTTTCTATCATTGATGTTTTGTGATGTGTTTCTAATATTGTACACTGTCCTGAGATCTTTGGATAAGGGTGGTATATAAATAACAGCAGCAGCAGGAACCAGGCTTTGAGTGTTGTAGTTGCAGCTCTCTGGAACCAATTATCAGCTGAAATCAGACCAGTGGCCAGTGTGATGATGTTTAAGCATCTCCTGATACATTTTTGTTTAGGAAGACTTTCTCTGAGGTGTAACTCAGCCATTTATAGAAGATCAATTTTATATTTGGCAAATTTGTATCATTTGCCAGGTTTGGGGTAGCATTAAATTAGCTGAAGATGACCCATAGTAAGTGCAAGGAAGAGCAGTAACTTAGTTGTTAAGGCCAGAATTCTTCAACTTGGGGTCCTATAGCTGCCCATCATCTCCATCCAGCTTAACCAGTGGTCAGGAATGGTGGACGTTGCCATCTGGGACCCAAAGTTGAAGAAGACTGGCTTAGACCAATGACCAAGCAGACTCCCTGCCCCAGTTCTGCTGTGACCATTGGCATAATTTCATGCAGGTGGCGATTCACGAGGAGGCCAGGGAGCTTCCTTGTACAAGTCAGATCATTGTCCCATGTAGCTCAATATTGTCAACACCTGACTAACAGCAGTGCTCCATGGTATCTGGTATTATTCTCTCACAAGCTTACCTGGAGATGCTGGGGATTGAGAAAGAGGGTGGTCTCACCTCCTTTTGGCACCAGAGGTATGTGACTCCTGATGGATTTATTCCCAAAGGAAAATGGCCCTCAAAAGATACTGGTTG